CAGTTTAATACTTACTGGCTGGTTAGAGAGGATGTATGTACAAGGGAGGGGGTTCAAAACTCCCATAATGAAGAATTTGAAAATATTGTTTGCAAAATTTTAATTTATTTAAATATTGCTTTGGATTTGTACAATAAACAGCAATTCCATACTGTGACACTCATAATCTAAAAAACAGCAAACTATTTTATTTTCAAAACATTATCCACTGCAAACGACACATAGAAGTCTACAATAAACCAGTAACAATAACAAATCCCTTTCCAAGGTGAAGCCAGTCATTATCTGAATTTTAAAGGGTTCTGATGATGGTATATTAGTATCACTGGTTTTTGGAACTTGGCCATCATTTGAAACACCCATCTTCTGAAATAATAATGGACAGTGTCTCCACAATAACAGTTCTAGCTTCATAGTGATATCAGAGTCCACTGAATTTAATTTTGAAGATGTCACTGTTCTTAAGTATGTATGTATGTAATGAATTTTGCCAACAAATGTGGTACAATCTTGTTGAAATTTTAACCCATATAGAATTCATAACCACCTTTATTTTCATGGTTAATTTTTAGATTATGTAACTGCTGTATCAACTGCAGAGGTTCTGTAGCATTAGCAAATATATATGAAGATTATTACATGTGGATACCATCAGGAGGAACAGATGTATGCACAGTATGCAAGTCTATGAATCAATAATTGTGATAACAATTACTGTGTTCTGGGATATCACCACTAACCATAAACCTATTTAGGGACTGACACTGTGTATAACTGTAGTTTAAACCATGTCTCTTGACAGTAACAGATAAGGAAAACCAACCAAGGGTGGGCTCACTTATCACAGATTTTCATGTGCCAAAAGTTGAAAAATACTTCAAATATCTTCTTCTTCTTTTTTTTGGCTTCTGCAAATTACATTGTAACACTCATTTATAAAACATATTTATTGTTTGTCAACTAAAATATGTGGAAATGAAAAGATTGGCACAAGATAGGCAAAAATGGAGGACATCAAACCAGTCGAAAGACTGATGACAAACAAACAACATCAATTATACTTGCCAGCAGTTAACATTCTCTAATACTAAACATGCAGTCAGAATGTATAAAATTACTGCTAATGTCCATGAAATTCAATAATAGCACATCAGTAACCTGCTACATACAAATCTAAACAGCAATCATAAATTAAACTATACACTTTAACCTTTAAATGACGGGGATTTAAATGGCATAGTGGTAGCAGCCCTACGGAGTTTCTTTGCAGGTTTTTAAAATTTTGTGCACGCTCTACGGAAAACTTTAATATTATCTAAAGTAAACATGATAAATTGACAAAATAAAAGCTATATTTATTCGAATAGAACAGAGAATACATAGAGTTCTTTAAAAATGCAGTTAATATCTTAATTGCCTAAATAGGCCTTAGTAACTTTACTTTGTTCTTTCGAAGCTCATTCGACATGGTTGTGAACTAATGACCACACAGAAAAATTTGTCTCCCCTACTTCAGTGGATACACATTATTCTCACCCATCATGCCGAGGAATGTGAGCTTTGATTAGGGGCCTGAAAATGAAGCTGAAACCCACTTGACAATAACAATGTTTATTGCTGTTTATGATTGTAGTTTCCGGGTTGACAGCTCAGGCTGACATTGTAAAAACCCTAGAGAAAGCGATTCAATATTTGCAGCACCTAAAATAGGCCAAAAGACGTAGCCAAGTCTTCTTACAATGTTGCAAGTTTTGAGGTCCCATCCGGGAACGTTCGTGGGGCTGACTACACAACTTACGTTCCCAGGCTGGGAACGCTAGTAAGATAGAGGTTAAAAGTTCCTAAAAGATACCTTCCATCCTTACTATCAATAAATCTCTATAAAATAGGGTAAAACTCAGTTATTCAAGACAATCATATAGAAATAGTGGAAAGGCATACAAATTCATTGCAGGCAGATGATACTGCACCTCATAAATTCACTGTTTACCAGACTAACCAGTAGTACAAATACAGTGAACACAGACATCAAATATTTGTCCTTATATTTCACTAAATATATGTATAAAAATCTTTCAAGTGAAACAAGCATACGTCTTAAATAAAACTATATGTTGTCACATACACTTTGTATAATGATCCATTTTATTTATACTACTCAGATATGAGCTTCGTGTAAAGTACAGGTTATACTAGAGAGATGTGAATAAAATTACATTTTCTAACAGTGTAGACAGTGAATACCAAATTACATTACCTTGGAACTATTTGAAAAATGCTCAGTCCCTGAATTAATGCTTCATATCCCTTGAAAGGGCATCTTCATGCCTAGGATGGCACTAACAATGAAGCTGAAGGAAACAAGACATATTGCGATATAATGAGCATAAAAGCAGTGGGCTGCAATACAGAAGGCAAGGCAGAGGAAAAATCCATATAGAAGGCTCTCTACTCAGACAAAATAAAGGAATCTATTTTTGTGCACTGGGACTGCTTACTAATGACTGCACAGCACCATGAAATATGGGCCACAACTATTTTACCATTAGTTAATGCACTGTACAAACTTTCACTCACTTGCAGAGCTTCTTATGTTATGTCCTCTTTCATATACTTAACAGTTAAGGCGCTTCTGATAAAAATCAAGATGATAATCTCTTTTCATTTCTTCATAATTTCATACTTGTTTACAATACAAGAATGCAAGTATTTGAATATGTCAAACAACCTTTATCACTTTGTGTTGATAATATAACATATATATGTTTCAGCCTCACAGAACCATCACCGGTGTTACCTATATAATGTTTACATTGGTTCAACATGGGTAAAATGTGCATACATAAAACTGCATAGAATCAATGGAAAAACTACATAACCATTAAAATAATAAAGTCACAAATGTAAACTATTAGGTAATGAGTTTAAAATAGAAGGTCAGTGAAGTAATTCATCCTATGGGTGTGGGTAAGTGGGGCTGCTGGTAAACATGAAAACATCCAGGAACAACAGTAGGATGAATGAATTCACCAACTTTGTATTTTAAAGTAATTATTACGTTGTGGTCACACTGAAATTCATGTACTTGTCTTCATTTTGTATATCCAGATCCACTTGGAGAAAGTAGAATTGAAATAAGGTTCAAATGCCACTTACTGTAAGTTCAAGTACATAAAACAACAAAAACAACAAAGGAATCTTAGTAATGATCTCATTTTAAACTTTATCTTGGATGAATGAAATTACCTTGTAAGAGATTCAGCGAAACATATCTGCCAAAATGGCAATAGTATCTTTCTTAATAACTTATAAAATGGACCACATACTTTCGGCATCTTTGTAGAAAATTATTCTAATTAGGATCAAGTTAAAATGCACACAATAGACAACCAGAGCAAACACCATATGAGAAGTCAGGAATATCGCATGTGTCAGATATGTCAGAATATCCAACCTGTCATTAAGAATCAGCTACTGTAGTCTTAAGACATTTTAAAACAAAGATGGATCATAACTCAGTATTTGTGAAAAAGTTTAATTCAGTTTTTGTGAAGAGTACAATATAGTAATGCTATCATTCTGAATTTTCTAAAATGTTCACCTCTCAGTAAACATACTGTTTTAAGACTCTAGTGTTTTTGTTGTTATTGCAATCATGATTATTATTGTTTCATATCAATAAGGCAAGGGATAATGACTGCAGTATAATTCAGCAATCGTTTAAAATTCACAGGTTATTTAGTGCAACTAAGCATGTAATACAACTCTCCTAGTCTTGCTGTGAATTTTATAATTTTGATATGGGTTGAGTCAGAAATCAGATTTTATAATTGCGGTATTCACAAATATTCAGTTGTGTTTTTTTGTTTATATCCCTGTTAACCTTGAAGATTTGAAATTCATAATGGGCATTCAGAAATCTAACACAGTGTCACATCGTACACACTTCAGAGCTAGCAAAATACATATGCAAAAAGTAGAAAGCTACCTAGGCAGAGCCTGATGGAAAAAACTGAAATTAATCTTTGAGAAATAGGTTTTCGTGATGTGGAATGGATTGAGCTTTATCACATTTGCTACTTTCTTAAACTTTCACCTTCTAATAACAATGAGGTACTTGATACATATTTAAATTACAAAAACCACTTGCTTACAAAACTGAATATGTGAAGTAGGAAACATTAGCTGTGATGTGTTGCAAGATGAAGATATTTTCCAGTCAAGTCTGTAAACAAGTAGATTTTCACAAATCAGACCATTATTTTAAAAAGACAAAACATAATTCCTTCAGGAGTATGCACAGATTTCCGTAAGCAGATACTTTGGAGTTTATGGCAAGGCAAAACATAAAAGACAACATATGCCCAATTTCATTTCAAAATTATGAATGAGAGAATGTCATGCCATAAATCTACCCAGGAACATCTGGGTGTTGAACAGAAATGTGAGTGTAGAGTCCAGTCTCTGTTGTGTATCTGCGGTTACAGAAAGGACACTCAAAGGCCTTCACAGGTTGTGGCTGGTAGTGCCATTTTGCATGTCCTGCTGCAGCATGCTGTGTCACCATCCGCTTGCTACAGAGATTACATTTGTATAAGCCACTGCTCATTCTACTGCACAAATTATTCACATTTGATGGGAGAGCTGTTAGTGGCATGCTCCGATTCAAATGGATCCTCATGTGATTGTTCCGTGACTTTAAGGAACTAAATACTGCAGAACAGATGCTGCATTTCAATAATAACTCTGAACTCTTCAAATTACTCCCATCACAAACATGATTTAGGTGCTTTTCTTCTGTCAACAGAACCCCACATGTTAAAGAAGCCTGATTTCCAGTGTTCTCACACACATGACTCTTAAATACTTCTTCCTTGAAGAAAATTTGATTACACTGAGGGCAATGAAATGGAACAGATACCACATGTGTGGCTGTATGAGTTTTGTATGTAGATTCAGATACAAACTTTTTACCACATATTTTACAGGGATAGAACACATGTTTTTTTGGAGCATGTATCTTTATGTGGCGCTGCAAACCGCCCTTATTACTGAATAACTTGAAGCAAATTTTACATGTGAAAGGATAATGCTGCTCCTCTTTCTTACAGCTGCTCTGAGGAACAGGTCCCTGGTCCAAGTTATCCAAGTTCCCATTTCCCATTTCCATGCCAACGTGCATCTGCATGTGTGCCACGAGGGTCACTGTGCTTGGAAAGCTTTTGCTGCAGAGACTACAGGGAAATGTTTCAACCTTTGCCTGAGAGTCTTCTGACAAAGGAGCACTGCTTTTGCCCTTTGCGTGATGGTCTCTACCATGAATTAAAAGTGCAGATCGTGTTGCAAAGCTCTGTGCACATAACCTACACTGATGCATGGCCTTCTGAATTGTATGTTTATTGTAGCCATGCTCTCTCAGAGCCTTTATTGATGAGTAGTGTTTCCCACACACCCTGCAGCTCATCTTGACATTGTGTGTTTTCATGTGATTGGAGTAAGCTTGCAGACGATGGAAATCCCTGCCACACTTATCACACTTGTATGACTTTACAGAGCTATGCTGTTGCAACATGTGAAGCCACAATGCGGCAGAATCGTCACAGACATATCCACAGTACTTACAGCTGCATTTCATCAAACACTGTGATACAGCGTCATTATCTCTATCATTATTATTTTCCTGCTTGGTTTCCATTGACAATTCAGGCACACTACTATTGTGCGCTTCTGAAAAATGAGTTTTCATGTGATATTTTAATTTGTATTTTCTTGTATATGATTTTGGACAATGCCGACATTTAAACTGTTTTATCAGTACCTTTCCTGGTGAAACGTTTGGTTGGACTGAAAATCTTTCAGCTTGTTTCATGTTTAAATTCCCTGGAAAATGAGAGTTCTTGTGCATCTCCAACATGGATCTTGCTGCAAATTTCTTTTCACACACAGTGCAAGTGTAGAGACTTTCCTCTTGAAGAGAGAGACAGACTCTGAGATGCTGTTTCTGGTGCTTTGCCATTTCAATCACAGAACTGAACACCTTGCTACAACCCTTGCATACACAGCTGTTCTTCTTCTTGGGACAGAAGTACTTCTTATGTTTGTAAAGTGTATGTTTTGACTTAAAGCACTTATTGCAGTGCTCACAACTCCACTGAGACACCACCGCACACACGTGCTCCTGCAGCTGTCCTTTATCTTGAAATATAATTTTGCACTTTGAACATTCTGTAACTGCTTCTTCTTTCACCTTTTCTAGATCCACAGACACAGGTTCCAAATCTGTGTTTGGCAGAGTGTCATTTCTTGGTTGAGAGAGTGGTGAAGATGGTTGAGATGTGACTGAGCCCTCCAGAGAATTCTCTTTCAAAATTTCATCTTCAGGTTCCTGCTTTGTCATGGTGGCATGGGACGTTGCAGCAATGTCATCAGGATTTGCAGCGATGAATCTCACAGAATTAGCAGGTGCTGTAAATACAGTCTGATCCCTGTGAAGAAAGAGAAAAAATAAAACAAGGAATGGCATTGATTGACACATTATTTCATAATACTATATCGTACACTACATTTACACCAGTGATACAGTAAGAATTTCTCTGTGACCTACAGTTATTGTGTGAAAGCATTATGAAATAGTAAGTACAGTCCACAGATCACGAAAAAAGCCCTGCAGGAGGTAGTCGTTTCTTGGGCAGTACAGGGTGAATGTTTACTATCAAGTGGACTAGAGGGCTGCTATTGGTGGGAAGTGTGATACATCAGAGTTTAAGGCTACTACACAGACTGAAAACATCAAGCCGTTAAGAGTAGCGTGTAGTGAGTGCACCTCTAATGTGTTCTGCGGGTGTTGCGATAATATTCTAAATTAAATCACTGTGCCACTGTAAGTTAATCTCAAAGTTATACCCATTTGAACACATGAAAGCCTGTTGTCTGTTCATTCAGTGGCTGTGGAACGAATGCTTTTAGGATGGGTCATCACTCACCGCGAAATCTGGCGCATGCGCATATATCAAATTCCTAGCAGGGCTTTTCTCCTGGTCTGTGGACTGTACATGTACAACCTGCCTTAATAGCCAATAAAAAGTGATGCATCACTCACAAAATGAATCAAGGGGTTCCAACTGATTTCCAGGATACTACTAAATAGTGATTACTTTCATAAATTAAGGGATTTGCTGCTGGGTACACCTACCTGCTGGGTGATTTGGACAAATTAGTTCCATTTTCATTCACCTGCACAGTATCATCAGAGCTCTGCTCAGGAAAAAATATATCATTTGAGCAGTCTGTCAGGAACACTTCTTGGAACACATTTTCCGAATTATTGCCAAACTGTGGAGAACCCGTTTCATCTTCTTTGAGTGGGCCCTTACTGCCAGGGAACACATTCTGAGATGTCTTTACCTGTCTTATTACAGGTGATAATGGCTTCTGTGTCACCTGTTAGATCATAATTTCATTATGGTACAGATGGAACACTTAATTCTCATACTAATGTGGATCTACATATAGCCAGATATTACTGCAAGTATATAAAGCTGAATTTGTAGAAATACTATACATGGATTTATATACATATTCCACTTCAAAATCTGTATAGTTTCTAATCAACTGTATACATGGTTGCAAATAATGTTAGAATACAGTCCAAAATCAGGAGCTTTTTTCTTGCTTTACATATTTTCAATATCTTGACCTTCCTAACATACAACCATCTAAAGACGAACTTTGAAACTTCTTACATCCACCAACAGTGTTTTGATAGCTGTGCTCCACAGCGCATCAGTAATTGAATTTGTCATCTATTCAACAGTGCTGGAGTTTGCATAGCACCAGTTTTTCACATATCACCACAGAAATCTTATAAGTTCACATCAGATAAATAGAGAAGCCAGGTCCACTTGTAGCCAATGTAACTGAGATACTTATTCAATGTGAACTGATTTTAAAAAGTGATCATTCAAACAATCCAATACAATGTTAACAATGTGTAGACCGTGTCTCTGAAAAATGTTGTCTGGAGGTCCATTTAGTATTCTCCAGCTAAGACATAATCATACCTGTAGAATTCATGTCAAATTGTACCAGTGAAGGATCATGTTATATGGATTTTCAGTAGTAATTAGTTATTGATATAACTGCTAGAAATGTGCTTCAGTTGTGAAACAAATCCACTCCAGTATTGTCTAGACTCGCTGACTTGTTCTCAAACACCCTCTCTCCATGTTCGTCCCTCAATGTCACAGACAAAGTTTCATACCCATACAAAATAACAGGTAAAATTATAGTTCTCTATATTTCAATCTATATGTTTATAGATAACAAACAAGAAAACAAAAGATTCTGAAGGAAATGTTTCCCCAAATTCAATGTGGTCTTAATTTTCTCATGAATGCAACTCCGATATGTTAACACATTTTCAAAGGATTGACTAGCTACTTGTAATTTTACATAATGATTTTGTCCTGTAGACTGCTCATAAGACATGAACATATATTTAGTTCTCTCTGCATTTACCTCTAGACCTACTTCCGTGCTGGCATCAAACACAGCTCCTCTATGTTTTTTATGATACAGTATTTATGTTTTTACCCAATAAATTAACTTCACCAGCTCAGACCAGAATATGTTGCATCCCACTGAATTTCAGTACCACATAACATGTACACAGCGCTCACAAGCTTGTCTAAAAGTGTGACAGTGCTGTGTACATATCCTGCCCTTTTCTGAGCTAAATTCACTGGCACCTTAAAAATAAACATCATGTATTCCTTCCATGGCAGTAGAACCACAGGCTACAAGGCAGGCTGATGTGCTATGGTCTCCAGAGGTAGAAAAAAACAGTTGTAGCCAATGACAAAACTCCAGCCACATAACTATCTTTATTTGGGTTACCAATTGACTGCTTTACTAAATGTTTCATTTTGAAATGGACCGACACATTTAGTGGAGTGGAATGGTCTTATATCAAGAATAATTTAGTGTCCTTAACATAAGATCACCTGAAGACAGTCCATTTTGCACCAAAACATGAGGTGCAGGTAATCAATGAACTGGTACACCAAATAAAGAGTTATATGTACAGATTTTTATGTCACTTTTAAATCAAATTACACAAGAGGATATCTTCAATCAAGAAACCTCTCTTAGGTACAGTCTTGAAATCTTATAACATTCTATCATTAACAAATTCCACTCTCTTGTGCTGACGTTTTAATATTTCCTTTACCACGGAAAAATACTAGACCAATGTAAAATCCTGTATTACCACTAAATCCAAATTATACTTTGCTAATTCTCTAGTTATTGCAATAACAAACCATGTTGTGTACAGACGCCTGACATTCCAAGTTCCAAATTGCATGCCCAGTTCCTGCCACACAGATTGTACCAAACAATCTGAAATCCTAAGAACTGTAATGCACTTTGTAACATACTACTTTTTACAGATAAGAATCACCATAAATATAAAGAAATTTACCCACCTTTCTCAAACTAGAAACAGATTCTAAAGCATCCAGATACTCCTTCACTTCAGCCATATGTGTCATGGTCAGTAATTGTTTTTTCAGAACAGCATTAGCTTCAAGACACTTATGACGAAAATTGTATACAGTGTCCAATTTATACAGGCATTTATGGCAAATCATCTTTGGCAGAGGATCTGCAACATATATCTGTAACAGACATAATAAAGTAAGCCCCAGCCTTGCCTGCTTCATTGCAAAGTAACAATTACATTCCAAAGTTCAAACTACAGTACAAAATCCCATAACTTTAATCTCTTGCACTAGAGTTTAGAGTATGACTTGAGATGAGGCAAGATGTCATCCCTTTTGGGCAATATCAAGGTAGACTCATGATCATTTTTTAAAAGCCTTTATATTTCAAATTGCTGCTAACAGAGGACATGAGAATGTGAATCTCTGAACTTTCAAGCAACTGCAGTGTGGATCTCATAATCTGTTGCAGTAAATAAATACAAATAAACATACACACAAACATAAGCCAGGAAAATAGTATCACTGCATATTTAAATGCCTGGCCTAACCATAGCCAGGGGGCTTAAATGTCAACAAAAAACATTAATCCTTTGAAACTGAAGGTGAGCTAAATAATTTCAGTATTCACTCCCCATCTCAAAGTTCAGTTAATTATGTTGTTTATTTATTTATTTGGTGTATTTAACTACACTCTTTGAGTACAAGCCAGGATAGCTCAGTCAGTATAGTGACTAGCTACAGGCTGGACGACTGGGGTTTGATTCCCA